GAACATATTATGACTGAAACACGTAAAAACCACAAAAATGTGAGACAGCTAACAAGAGAGGGTGCTCATTTCGTTCCCACTCGAAACACTCCCCCACCTTTCTTAGTGTCCATGTTACTTATCTTCCGCTGGTAGCAATAATACTAATCTCTGTATCGCTCTTTTCAATTTCCTAAGTTAGATATATATATATAAGGCAAATATGGGGTTTGTTTCTTTCCTTGAACCCAAATAGATGATACCTTGCCATCCATATTGCCAATAAAAGTTTGAAATTACTCTCTTTTGGTAGTCACATACTGTACTTCCCAAATGTTATATCATCTGTAACACCAATACAATATACTATTCAATTATGTAGCTCAATTGGCCATATCTTTCGCAGTATTTGGATTGAGATATGTGAAGGTGGAGACCATGAGCATTTCTTGGTTCATCTTTAATGGCCTGGTGAACAATAATGCCTGCTTAATAGACAATCCTTGTCATTTCAAGACCTACCTCTGTTGTCGTAAATGCCTATTTAACAGCAAGTTAAGCTGGTGAACTGTTACAACTTGAATTGTCTGTCGATTGCTTTTCAGATGGCAACTGATATACTATGTGGTGTGTAGAAATTGTGTCAGAAAGCACCAAAACGATAACATTTCTGCGATAAGTGGAATGCTGAAACGAGAGCTGTGGATAGTCGTTTTGCATTCTATATTTCAGTTGATCTGGTCTGAAAAACATAAAACAATATGGTTCTTATTATACAGCACATTTAATTGACAGTGAGCTAGATTTTGCAAAATCAATTACTTTCTCCACTTCCAAGGTCCCCGCAATTCCTCCGCAGCCCCATTCTCATCTGTTCAAGACACGAGCCATGTGGAGCAGTACATAATGTTACTCCCTACACATCTTGATGTAATCATGGATTCCTTTACATTGTTTGTTTTGTTGGATTTTCGTTGACTTATGCAATATTCGAGAAAACTAATAAATTTAGAATTATATTTGTATGTGAATAACTTGATAGTACTAGTAATAGTAGCTGATTAGTTTAGTATTATCTATTCATTTATTATTTTTAAATTAAAACAAATAAGAATATCTTGACAAGTCGAATAAACAACTTCCAGGTTAAACAACCGTCTTTGTTTTATCAGTCTCACAAAATATTTTGTAAGATACATCATATAACTTGTCTGCTCGCCAGTCTTAAATTAAAAACATACCATTTTGTAAACATAAACATTCCTGTAGCTACCAATTGTTAAAAAATAATGTTGTGTATTTTCAATAGTCTATGCATCCACGTCATGAATCCCAATTTGATGCTTTTTTTTAATTCTAAAATTTTGTTGTAAAAAGTTTGATTGCCATGGATAGAGGTCCTCCACAGCCAACATGCTGACTGGCTTTCCCTTAATCTAAAAAATAACTAGCTTTCTTAATACCTTAAGCATGGTGGACAAATATTAATTAATTAATTGTTGTTAAATATGTACTTTTTTTTTTTAGACTGTTGTACTTGATACATAATCCTTGTGTAATCCGTATAACATGATTTATGGTACAATGGACTTCAACGGCAACACAATCCCCTCCTCGAATATGCATGAGAATTGACTCTTCTGCTTGTTGGAGCTTAGCTGCTTGTTAATAATACAGCAAGAGTAACAATATAAATATTCATTTTAATGATATATGTATATTTGGGTTTACACTTTCTAATCATTCATATCATCATGCCATATTTATTTGTCAAACCAATATTATTACTTTTCAGTATTTTTGGGTGAATGAAACATGCTACTGTTGGAGGCACGTTTGACATGATCAAATTTTATATATCAAAAACTAGGCTACTAGCCTAGTATCCATGGTGGTGATGGTGGAATTCTGATGATTATGTCAAGCCTACTACTATACTAGCTAGGCCCTAGGCTTAAAATATACATTTTACGCCCCTCCAAAAAATACTCGCCCAGTCGCCCCCCACCATCAAAAGAAATCAATTGCAAGTAGCTAAAAATCACCTAAAATCACCTTATTTTGCGAGTTAGCATCCATCAACTGATCATCGAGCCCCCTCATACTTCACCTTCACGCCCCAATCAGCACCCCCATTTCAAGACTTATAGATAGCCACTGGAGCCAGGGGAAAAGCCCCGGTGGGTTCCGGGGAAGAAGCCTATAGCCTTATGTATAAAAAAGTCGTATTTAATTGATTTATAAGGTTAACAATTTACAGTTAAACATACCTACGTTCAGAAAAATAATGTTTAGTCATTGTTATATTTTCCACATTCTAAGTTTTAAAAAAAAGTGTGTTTTGAACTATAGACGAATGGTGAATAGTGGAGAAAATTGGTATGGTGTCTATTACTGTGGTGTTGATAGTCTTGTCACAGGGGCTGGAGGATCCAGAAGTTTTCAAACGGTGGGGTGGGGGCACAACAGTTTTAGAATAGATGTGAGTAGTACATAACATTAATATGCATTGACATTTTTAGAATTTAGTGGCAAGACGAGGGGGCACGTGCCTCCCCGTGCCCCTACACGACCTGATAGGTAGGAAAATCACAATCTCACGAGCATTGGCTTTGCGAAAAAAAAACCAAAAACACATTTGGTAGTGAAATCTCGGAGCGTTTAAAGGTAGAGTAAGCGAAAATTACACCTCCAAGAAAAGAGTAATGCACGTTAAAACAATAAATTAAGGAAAACTTTAAATCCTTCGAAAAAATTACTGTCTTGTAAAAAAGTAATTTTCTAGACCACTGACGGGTGGTTGAAAGTGTCCTGGCACTATTTTTAATTCAGCTTCAGCTTCTAAAAGTACTTCCACCTAATTTTATCTCAGGTACCCAATTGTTTAGGATTTTTGGAATGGCTTCAATGTGGCGAGAAATCTCCAATATCAAGACATCGCGAGTTCCGTAGTGTTGGTATAAAAGGCAAACGGTGAAATATTTATGCCACACCTCTTATATTCATACATTTCATCAAGGAGTTTGGAGTTAAGTAACCCTACCATGGTAATAAAACAAAATTAAGAATCTGATAGTTGTTTTCACTTGGTGATGTCTTCGTTTTCATTTCCCACAGCAATTCTAATTTTCATTTTGCGGCTTATGTGACCACTCCATGAAGTGGATAATGAAGGGCTATCAGTATCCGTTTCATTCAATATCAGTATCCTATTCGTATCCGTATCCATTAGTACCGAAGGGCCCGGATTAGTGTCAGTATCAACATAGAGAAAATAGAACATTTCTCTGGTATCAATGAATAGATCATTGTTTTGAGCTTTGGCTTGACGGCATCACTTAATTTGTGTTGATATTTTAACAGTAGCCAATTCTAATAGGCCTATAGTATTTATTGTGAATGTAATCCATACGGGTATATTGACCCCTCGATGGCATTAATTTGCGGCCATACTTGTTTAGATATTTTTGAAGATCAGTACACCTCAGCTCATGTCATAACAGCCTGTGGTGTGTATTAATCAGCCCGTTATCCTCTTTTGAATAAGTAACACATTGAAAGCTATGCTTATTTAAAATATCAACAGCCTTTAACTATACTGTCGTTATAGTCACGTACCTCCTCACGAAATTTCATCTTCACTTACATTTTTTCTTATAATAACCAGTAAAATTTTCCCAGGCTCGGTGTTCTTATTTTTTAGCCGATTTCAGGCTCAAACTTAAAAAAAACACAAAAAATTATTATTGTACAGCAGTATATTGCTGTACTGTCTTATAGGGGATATTACATTGTCACACTTACTGCAAATAAGGTATAGATACTGATTTGTTGGTTTTTCGATTAAAAAAAATAAATAAAAATCCCATTTTACATTTTACCTCAACCTCAATTTGGTCTTAATTTTTAAGCAATTTCAGCCTCAGTGTTATAAAAAAAAAGTGTAGCGTAACATAACAAATTCAAAATACTTTGGATTTCAAATATAATATTTAAGTTTTTACACAGTTTTTATTCCTTAAAATTTGTTTATTTTAATGTTTATTTTCAATATAGCTTATAATTACTGAGGCCTACAAAATTTCTTTTTTTAAGTACCGTAACTCGTTAATCTTACTTCTATTATATAGTGACCAAATTTTGATTTAGTTACAATTTTAATTAGAAAATTAATCTTCATTTTCATTTCAATAGACCATTGTGTCGTCAAACCATTTATCGTTTTTGGAATCATGTCTGGTCTGCTCTATGATAAAAGCTAAAGTAGGGCCTAGGCGATACATGTAAAAACTCTTTTTACAATTAAAGATAAATCGTACGTCTAGTGATTGATTGATATTGCGCCCTTTGAGTCATTACGTTGGCAATGTTTGGAGATTATGCATTACTGTAAGCCATGTCGTATTTTGTTTTGACATTAATTGAACAGAAGAGAATAGTCGACCCCTGCATTCGTCAACACTCCCCTCCAATAACATTGTGGAATATGACACTCAAATAAGACATATTTCTGTTTTTCTAGTTCTAAATTGATCTGTTTAACGTTGTCATGTAACAACACATGATTCTATTGATTGCGCGCGCCTACCAAACCAAGAGTATAATGATGTCCTCCTTTATTTATCAACCAATCAGAATACTCTTGTCCATCAATATTATTGAGTTCAGAGTACTGCACGGTAAGTGATGCTTTGCATCCGATTTTGAAGAATAGGCCTAATTGCCTGCCTGAGCGAGGTAAGGTAGTACGGTCCTGTTTTTCAAATTCTTTGAAACAAAATTAATGTTTGACCAGCTGACCAACCGAGTTTCAGGAGCGCATTTAGACACAGGTAAAATTAATTTTTTCCCCTAAAGTTAGCATAATGTATAGACCTAATAGCCACAGGGTACACCTATAGGCCTACTAAATTTTGATATTGTAGGCCTAAAGATCAATTATATCGTATCTTTAACATTTTAATTCGATACAGTAATTGATAATAATAATTTTGGAAACTTAACTGGGTGATATACGAATTTGAAACATAGGCCTAAGTTGGAGTGGGGAGGGGATGAAATGTGAGGCAATTTTAGATACACAAGAGCAGGCCTACGACTGAAACATAATCCCGTCCAAATTGTCAACATCAATATTGTCAATACTTTTGGTATGCAAATAATATTCAGTTATAATAATATAAAATTAATATTCAGTTATTTATATAGCGCATTTCTTTGCAGATACAAAGCGCTTCTGACCCCGGTCATTGGGTCTAAATGTTTTATTAGGCCTACTGCTGTAATCAGCGCAGGAGCAGGCAACCCCACCAGGTTCCCATTTATACTCCTGAGTGGAGAGAAGCAATGATAAAGTGTCTTGCTAAAGGACACAAGCGAAACCCACAGCGAGGGACAAAACCCCGAACTGAAGGGTGGGAAACGAAACCCTTCCCGCTGCGCCAAACCACTTCTACGAAACCCATTCCTTGTTCATTGATGCCAAGTTAAGTCGTGAATATGAAAAAGCTATCACCGTCGTATTTGGATTCCAGTTCATTTCTTTTGTACAGCAAAAATTTTTAATTGATTGTTGGCACAGTACCATACGGTACCTATTGCGCTCATTTGAGATTCTTTGACAGCCTTGACGCAGGCCTACGTTTCTCATTGGTACCATGCTTGCATTTAGATAACCGCACATCCTGTCAACATCATTATGCTTCTATTATTGTACTTCCTGTATTATCACTGAATTTGTCTGACGCACTTATCGATCGTTGTGTATTTTTTCAATAATCAGAAAAACCGATTTAATAGTCCTAATTGAATTCTACAATTGTTGCCAAGCCACTTTGTCCCCACACACCCACCCCACCAATCGTATTTTGAATTCTTGATCTTCCCATTGCGACAATTTACGTGGTTGCAATATGATTTTGTTTATTGGTAATTCGATAAGAAAGCACATTAATTTTACCCTGCTTTTAATTCGAATTCGTTTGTAGGTATGGACGCATAATTAATTTTACCATCATTATCATCATCATCATCATCATCATCATCATCATCATCATCATCATCGTCATCATCATCATCTTCATCATAATCATTATCATCGTTATCGTCCTGGTCATCGTCATCGTTGTCGACGTCGTGATCAATCATTTATTAGGCCTAGCTTCATCATTATATTATAACATCATCATAGTTTACGTTAAGGTCCCTTCCATGTGTACTTTTGCTCGCCGCACCACTAAATCAACTGTAAATTTAATCAATGTATAAATCATTTTATGTCTAGTAGTGTCGTTTGAAAATGGCAACGACTGAGCATGTAGATGCTGGCCATGGCGACGATGTGAAAAGTGCAGCCAGGAAGACTCTAAAAAAATCATCCGATCAGATTAAGAATGACTCCTTCAATTATGCTTGGGATAAGTTTTACGGCAAAAAAAACTATAAACCATCATGGATACAAAGATCTCCAAAGGACAGACTACCAACAATTACAGCCAATTCGGATGAAACTGGTAAGAAAACAGTCGTGCTGAAAGGGGACGTTGAGTTAGCGCACGAGTACCAGGTAAAACTGGTTGAAGGTATACCGATTCATCATCGAACTAAAGATGAACTAAAGCCGCTGGAAATTTCCGGGAAAGTAGTTCCCAATGAAAAACAGTTAAAGAAGTGGCGTGACGTTATAAAATTAAACGGCATAGATTCTGAAGGCAGACCATTTTTTAATAAGGTAGTCAAAGATACAGATGTCCCTAGATGGATGAACGAAAATGACTATGGGGCAACGATTGTACGAAAGTTTGTTCATAAATCGGATGGAAAACAGAAAAAAACTGACAGCAAGCCTATTAGAGGCAAACCCAATTTGGCCCACTATGATATGGTCACGAAATATGAAAATCGCATGAAGCACGCTGACCTAAAGTCTATAGGTTGTACAACTTTACCAGACAAACGTACGTTGAACAGACTTGCAGAACAATTTGATATTCCGCCTGATGTCGGGACGAGGGATTATGGATCGTCTGTAAGAACAGTTAATGAGCAGACCGAGACTGAAGGCAGAAAGAATTTCCACGCAGTTGTCAAACAAGTAAATGTTCCGAAATTTCTAGATGAAACTTACAGGCCACGTTACTTTTAGGCCTTATCTGATAACATGAATTGGTCATACCTTCGAAATAAATATCGATTGGAAGAATAGGCTACGAAAGGGTTTGTCCATTTATCAAATTTTGTGACAAATGACTATGATATGCTCATATTTAGCTGTATTATGACATGATCATGCCCATAAATGGACAAATCACACAAATTTGTCATAAAATGCGATAGTAACATAAAGTCATATAAGAAGCAACCTGCTTTTAATGCAAACTTCCGATAAACCTATGTTAAATATTCAGTATTTTTCCTTTAATGTTGTACAATTGTTACATACCCATAGGCATATACCTGTCTCTTATACACATCTAGATGTGTATACATTAATCTGTATTGGTAAAATGAAATTTGTATTAAGTCTATACATCCAAATAACAAAAATTATAGCTATAACTATAATTACAGTCTTCAGTGAAAGCAAATTAAGGCACAGTATTCATATAAATTGAATTTCGAATGCAACAAGGTAAGGAAGGAGAATGGTTATTATTGATGTTTAGTCTGCTCTAAATGAGATTCATATTTCTTTGTCAATATTTCGCAAACCGGTGTTTTTGACAATAATGGAGGTCTGCGTCGCTGTGGTATCACTGGCCGGCTATTTAGATAACTAAAGAAACACTAAGTGCTATTTACACATAAACGAACGAAACCAGGTATAGGCCTAATGATTTTTGAAAATTGATGATTAACTCAGAGCCGATTTGGCCTATGGCTAAAAGGAACTTTCAATAAAACTGTGATTGATGTATGCCGAACAGGTGCAGTAGTTCATTAGTCAGTTCTGGTAACGATAATATGCTTTATGTCGTCTCATATTATTATGTATGTGGCTATTGACCACAATCTTAAATTAATTGTCAATTTTGATTGGATGATAAAGTCCTAATTCAAACCATATAAACACAATCAAACAAGATTTAAGAAGTGATTTATTTTTTGTAGAAGACGTCTCTCAGTCAACATTTCTATTTCGTGTGACTAAATGTTTTAAATGAACGAAGTATAGTATTGTTGATTTGAAAAATCTTCTTTTTTTGTTTGGCGTGGTAAGAGAAATATTCATGTATAATCAGCTGCATGTATACACGATTAGCGCTTATGTAATCATTAAAGTTGCAGCCTCAAATTTATCATGAGTATTTTAAGATCAGGTAGGTTTGTTCAGTGAAACATAACAATCCACCTGATGCAAGCGAATGCCCACACTCGATTTGCACTGTGTATAAAGGTCTTTCTGTAAACTCTGTGTGCACGATTTAATTTAATTACAGGTACTGTATCACAAAGAGCTCGATGATGACGATAATGATGATCAGGAGCAGGAAAAGGAGAATGCATGTTTTTAATTTGTATTGCTGTGCCTAACACAAAATTAACAGTATATATTCACATGAATAAAAAAAATAGAAAAATTATTGCATTACAGCAAATTAACTAATGATTTGTATTGTAATGTTAATGGTGAAGATGGTGTTTAGATTGATGTGTGTGATGATTAATGGTGACTTATTTACGACGATGGGTGACGGCAGTGGTGGTGGTTGTGATGAGCGCGGTAATAAAGAGCATCTATAGATGCTGAATAATGCGATAGTGGTGGTAAGATAGTTACGACAATGTCACATGACTGATATGGAAAAGAATGGAATGGTGGTTATGAATTTTTTTTGTGTGAAAATAAAAACAACATAATAACCAGATGTTTTTTCAGCGAAGTGCTTCTGGTGGGGGGACTTAGAAGCAATCCTCTACTCATTGGCCATAATGCACACCGAACCAACGACTTTAATGTCTCTTACCGGAAAACGATTTGCTACAGAAACTTGCATTTTAGCCCTCCAGAGAGGCGGATGAAATTGAACCAGGGGAACCATAGGTGTTATGAAGATGGTTCACATAGTATGGCAGTATGTTCAGCGCACACACAGTTGCTACCACCAATTTATAAGCCAACTGAACTAAGTTGCTCCCATGATGACGTTGATGGTGAAAAAGGCAACACATCAGTGGTGTTTATGATGATGACGCGTCGATGATGATGAAGAACACGATGGTTATAATGATAATTGATTGGTGATTGTGATGCTGATGGCAGGTGCCGCACTAGCGGGGTCGCCCCCACCCACGTCGGGGACCACTGGACCCCCGCTTGGACAACCTGACAGGGAACTTCCAGAAAGGTCGTAGGGGAAAAACCAAACCTTGAGCACCGAAAGTACAATTCAAACATGCCTTACTAAGCTGTCAAATTTTAGGGATTAAAAACTGTTTAGTGCTAGCAATACTACCCGGTTATGTGCGACGTGATGTATACTATTACGATCGTCTGGGTTACAGTGGCGGCGACACCTCTTCTTCGACAGGGGGCCTAGTAGGCCTACCTCCGACAGGGGGTTAGTACCCACAGGGGGACACTTATAACTTGCATGGTTTTCTATCAAATTACCATTTTTAAATAAAGAACCCTATAATTAACGCATAATGTTATTATTTAAAAAAAAAACCCCCAACAAATTCATTTTTCCCCGACCTGGGGGGGGGGGCTAGGCTTCCCCGACGGGAGGGTGTGTGGACCCCTTGTCAGGGAATTACTAGTGCCGCCCTAGGCTGATTGGTGATATTGAGATGTTAGGGTATAGATGCTGATGATAGTACTGACAACCACCACCGCGGTGACGATAATGATGATGATGATGGATGTTGACGACGACAACACCACCCACCACAACAGCAACAAACAATAGATAAAAACATATTTTCTAACGACTACTTGTACTAAACTAATGCTTTAAGAACGATTTCAAAGAACTACAAACCACTCTTATTTAGAGACGTTGCTGTTACACAACGGTATTATAATATCCAAGAACAGAAATTCTTAAGTTACAAAACATATTTTAAGGCGTCAATATACAGCTAAGCCCCACTCCTTAAATAAAATTTGGTCTCACAAAACAAAACGTAACGCACGAAAAACACGTGCGTTTGCGAGACGTTTGCTTGCACAATCGTTTTTTTCTGGCACTGTTCTGATTGGTCAGTTGTTAAGCCTGGTTTCCCTAAAATCGCTACCCTGTCGCTACAGTTTTTTCAGTACAATCGTTGTACTGTACTGTACTGCGTAGCAGTCCCCGAAACATCCAGGAAGGATCCCGCATCACGGAAAGCTGTCCGCGTGTAGCGACTGTATGGAAACCAATTTCCAAGGTCCATTGTAGTGCTGGCCTTACGGTATACTACACGAAATTTATTCATCAATTTACTTACACGACTTTCAAGTTTATATCAAATTACATAAACACAAATTGAGATGAGAAAGCTACAGGTGGTGTAAATCATACTCTGCAATTGTTGTCAAACTTAAATCTTACTCAATATGTTGTTCACGACAAATATAATATAATCGTATGATGTATATAGCATTATATATACGAATTTGGATGTTAACAGGATTAATGAACAAAATATAGGCAACATAAACAAAATGATCAGTGGCGGCGCCAGGGGGGAGTTCCCCCCCCCCACCCCAAGATAATTTTCTTGATATATATTTTTTTACATATTAGTAGACTATCTATAAATCGAATAAATAGGCCTCTGAAACCCGTAAATTGTCACATTTTTGGGGGCTTAGCCCCTGGACCACTCTCAAGGCATTTTTGGGCGACGTCCGACCACGCCCACTTTAGGCCACCCCCGCATATCTCTCCCTAAAAACCTGGCGCCGCCACTGATGATGATAAAGATAATTTAAATATTTGTTTTCTTTTTGCTGTGAAGAAAAAATGAACGTAGAAATTCATCCAACGTATTTCTTTAGGAGATGAATTTATTCATATTTATCATAATGATAATTGTGCAAACACCATTAATATTTAAACACATGTTCAACATCTGAGCAGTATTTACAATATGGTCGATTTTTTATTTGTAATAAACGTAAATGATTAAATAATAAATATTTTTCCATAAAATATTAACTAGTTTAACTACAAACGTCACATGCCTACCAAAATATTCGTTATTTATACAAGTGGCAGTAGAAGAAAAAAACTATCAGAATTAGGAAATCTATTGGGCCTATGTTTAATAAAAAAAAAAGATTTATGAGAATCATACAGTAGTGGGAAATACAGTAGGCCTATTTGTTTGATAACCTGGATATGATATCCCGATTAAGCCTGGTTTTCATAAAATCGCTACAATATTGCTACAGCATGTCACTGTAATCCTTGCACTGCGAAGCTATAATCTGACGCATTCCCCGATTCAAGCGACCAATTAGCGTCGCTGAAAGGAGACGGTGATAGCGTGCAGAGATTTTATGTAAACCGCTGAAAGGAGTCGGTGATACCGTGTAGCGATTTTATGTAAACCATACTTTAGAGATGAGTAAACAGACCATAAACAAGTTCTACTTTGGTACGATTTTGTTAACATTAAATCTACTAAATTAAGTTAGTATCTTTGATTCATAAATACGTTTTTGAAAAATAATCAATCGTTTTTTCTTCATGTCATTGAATATATCAAGCCATGAGATTTATAGGCCTAATAATCGGAATTTGTTTATAAAATTAACAGGGTGATTATGCCGTCTCTGAATGTATATATTTTGGAAAAAATAACCATGGCTTTCTGTAATTAATTACAGTAATTAAATCATGTGTTACAAACACATATATTTTGTTCGTCTTTTAAGCTTATGACTTCCTATTGAGAGCGTCTGATTTCATGAGATCTTGCCAAGCAGTTACGGTGGCTGCTGCCATCTGTGTTGAGGCCGCCGAAGAACTGCTATCCGCCTGTGTTTCTGCTGCTTTCTCGTCTATTTCATGCGCGCTGAAAAGTAAATTTACAAGAAATAGCCTACTATATACAGAAATCATTGAATATTGTTATTGCTGTATTTGCCGTTCATTGTATGGGAGATTTAAATCCTAACAAATACAGTATAAAGATTTTAAAATAAAATATACTATAGGGTGTCGCCGTTCCCCCTTTTCATCATATTGCGTCTTATGTTCCATGTTAATCACAAATCAGACATCATTACTGCATTGCTAACCTGTTTACTATACACTCATTTGCAGTGGCGTATTCATTTCCAAATGTAAGGCCGTCTTATTCATACTTACATCAGCATTTTTTCAATGCAAGGAGCAATGTGTTCCCACGAATATTTAGTGAGTTTCCTAAGCTTTGATGTCCAAGTTGGCGCCAACTTCAAACACACACGGGATGCGGCGATGCACGATGCGGCAACCAATGATGGCATACATTTTGAAAAGACATGATCTATCAGAATGCACCAGCAGAAAATATTACTCGGCTAATCAAAAATATGTTGTTGAAACAAGTATAATGAACTCCATATATTTGGCACATTTATCTCTTTAAATTCTTTACTTGGTAATCTCTCCAGTAACAAACTGTCCTTCCACGGGACTATGGTTTTAACTAAGGCTATGTTCTCACACGGCTGCTAACGGTTAGCAGGATCCGGATCCTGCTAACCGTTAGCTGCCGTGCGTCCATACGAGAAAATCCCGATCCGGATACCAGGAATATGATGATCGAATCACTAGCCAATAAGAAACTGAAATTGTAAACGCGTAAGTGTGATTGGTTGATGATAGAAACGCGCTCACTTGCTAACTGATAGCGCTTGCTAACCATTAGCGGGGTATCTAACGGTTAGCGCTAACCGATCGGGCGTTCTCACACAGGTGCTAACGGTTAGCGCTAACGGTTAGCTCCCGATCCGGATACTAGGGCTCTCGTGAGAACCAAGCCATCGTCTCATAATGATGTTGTCACAGGAATCGATCTCAATACGTTTTTTGAAAAAGCGAAAAAAAAAACAAAACAAAAAAACCGCAGGCAATCTTAGATAGGCCTACTATAAGTTCTAGTTCGCTTCTAACATTAATAATCACACTGAATATCGACTTTTGTAGCATTCGTTGGTTTGCGTCAAAACGCATCTAAATTATTACGTTAGTGTAACAAAGTTTTGGGAAATTCGATGAGTCTATAAAATAAGGCTACGCATTACGCTGCCTATCACGATATGGTTAGGTGACTCTGTATGCTGTATGATAATGTTCGTTGTTGGTTGAATTCGTGGAATGTTGTAAAATCGTCTAAAACTTGCCTTGTAGTGAAATATCTAGAAAATATTTGGTGTATTTCTGCATGTAAGTTACAGCATCGCTAAGAGAAGAGAGTGGTTGTCCTGCATGCAGGTCCCTCTCGCATACTGCATCAATTATGTAATAATCCATAAAGTGTACAGCTGTTGGTATTGAAACTTGCCAAGAGAAAAAGTCCAGAAGTAGTAGTTCCATTTTTAGATAATCACCCTTTTTATCGGGTTCATAAGCACAACTGTTGAAATTGCAAAGGTGTATGACTTTGTCTTCTTTTTCTTCATACTTTGCTATGGACAAAATGAATAAAATAATTATCATTACGCCTACTATTAGTATTCTTCATGAGCACTGATCACAATAGGCCTGTTTTTAAATTTGAAATGCATGTTGGAGTATAATTCAGATAGGTAGAACACTCAAATATACGCCATATAATTTGCGTC